ATGAAACATGATGTGAGAAAATATAATCAAATTACGAAAAATTATAAATACAGAAACGCCGTCGTTTCATAATTAGAGCTCTACTAAACTTGTCAACGTTAGTTAATTAAGCTGGATCAATAAGAAATCACATGGAAATTGAATGAAATTTTAAAATGATCAATGACTTGTAATTGTTAGTTTTATACACACATCACAAAGCTAATAGTGAATCATCTTAGCATGTTCCTAAATCTTGAGATGAGGCCTTTCAAGAACCAGCCTTATCATCATGAATCTATATACAACAAAGAATACAGAGTTTCTTCCATCGACTTAAAACCTAGTTGAGCACTGGAAACCCCCATTTACATTTCATTCATCAGAAGTACCACACAAAAAGCTATGTGCCTTACAGATCAATTGATACTCGGGGGCCTTAAATTTACAGTGGGGGTTTCAGGAGGTCCACTGTAAATATCATCAAAATGAAGTTTTACATCCTCTCCGGCTTCAAGATCGTCCAAGTAAGTTGTCCGGATAACCCTGAGAATCTCTCCAATCGAGGAATTGATCATGCTCTTCTACACCTCTCTCTGAATTGTTATCGTAAGGATGGTTTGAAGGATAGCGGTTGAAATCTGGAGGCTCAAGGAAACTTGTTTGGGGTTCTACACCGTGTGGATCAGTTCTAAGCCACCAACAGCTCCGTGTATGTTGCATCGTTTCATTTGTATCGTGATGCTGAAGTACACTCTCATGGAAGAAAGGAGCTGACGTCGAAGCTTCAAGATATGACCGTGACCCATCATCAAAGAGATGTGGCCGGTATTCTTCATCTCTTGCTTCGTTATGTGTTGTGTTGATCGGCACCCAATAATCATCATGCTGTTCCTCAGCTGGTTCTAATGGCCTTGTTGAAGTGTCTCTTCCATAACTTGGCACATAGTGAGCTCGAGAGGTATAATACAAATCTAGAAGATATGGGTGATTCTTTGATCAGCCTCAAGTAGCCATAAAGAACCCAGATTGTAGCCCGTGCCCTGAATATTCTGTAGTGTTGCATTGATAGAAGGCCGTTTCTATCTCCGTAAGCTCTCAGAGGGCTACCTCGCCAATGTCTATCTGAAGAATAAGCATGTCTAGCTCCTTGCACTGGCAACATTTGCTCCCTGAAAGTTCTAATATTTAACAGAAACTGTTTACCCTGAGCATCTGGTTCCCATGAAGGGTAGCTACTCTGGAAACTGCAATTGCAATAAAATTAAAGATGAAAGACATTAGAGGAGATTCGATGCAACAATATAAACTGGAGAATAACGATGAATAATCACAAAACTGAACTTTAAAATAATGGAAAATAACTAATGAAAGATTTGGGGGAAATAATTACAAAGAATACGAAGGCATTTGAAGCAATCAACCAAGAAATAATAGTAAGTTGTAGAGCATTTCTTACAAAACATTAGTATATTCAAAGCCTGCTGTCAGTTTTATCACAGAGAATACTTGGAGGGGAAATTCTAAATAGCTATGGAAATTGGAAAAAAAAATTGATGAACGTGACTGAATTAAGGTAATCTTGGATTTACAAAACTTATTTCACCGAAGAGCAAGAATGATATGTGCAGGTGTAGGACAGAGCAATAATAGAAATTTGTTTAACCTAACCATACCTCAAGAATGATTTCTCCATTTTCCCCTGGGAGCTCCTCTGTTGACGAGGTGCATTGTGTGGAGAGCCATAATTACTATTGCCATGTTTCTGGAAATCAAAGACACTAAAACTGCAAACAAGGAGAGGAATAGTAATTAGACACATTATCTCGATTTACCTGGACATGAATGAGATAAGAAAGAACTGGTACCAAAAATCTCTACCTGCAAACGTGACCAACCCCTTCAACATCCACTGTAAAATCAGCAATGAACTGCAAGATATCATCCACCCGCTGCAGAATAAACAAACAACATTTTAGTTCAAAAATTAAGATGCCAGGAATAAGACAACAATAAAAATAATGTCAGGAAAAAAGAAAAAGAAAAAAAACCTTTGGCACAACAACTAGAAGCAAGAATGGAGTGAGGAAAATTGAGGCCATCTCCTCCAGCAACATCATTCCAGTATACTGCATCACAACATTAAAAAAAAATACGTGGAGTAAAAATAATTCAAAAAGTATGAAGTAAAGAGACAAGAACAAAAGCTATTTTGTTACATAAAAATCCTTGAGACTTCTTGGAGATGCAAAATAAACCTAGGGAACACATCATTTAAACTGAGCTTCAAAACACCTAGGAAAGTAATGAGAAATGCAAACTATTCATATGGCTATATGGAAGTTAAAACATCTTATATTCCAAGATTTTTACAATTGAACAAGCATGCAACTCCTAGATTACTGGTAATACAAAGATAGGAACCAAGCTGGATTACCTGAAACAGAGTTTCAAACTCTATTCGGACTGTTTCAGTATTTTCTTTACCACGCCATCTCATTGGCATATAATGTGTATGTTGCACCGCCACAGACATTGCTCCTTCTGGATCAAGGACCAAAAGTTCATCTGTAACAGCAGCCCGGCTAATAGCTGTTATAGTTCCAAAAACAGCTGCATACCAAAACAAGTTCCGACCAAATATCTATACATTCAAACAAAATAAAAAATAAATACTGAAATGAAATACAGATTTAAATAGAAGACTCTGAAAAGATGGAAGTTCAAAAACTTACATGGCCCTCTAACAAAGATTCTTCCAAAAAGGCAATGATGATCAAGACAGCAGCAAAGCCACCAGATACAAATGAGATAAACTTTGCAATGATAGAAATAATTGGTGAGGGGAATTGCTTTAGGTACTCAGACGCATGCATTACACTGCTATTAATCCGATGCTTGAATAAATGGTCAACCTGTAAGTTAAAGACAACAGCATATGCAAAAATACAGCATTACAGTATGTGAAAACAAGAAAATCTAGAAGTGTAAAATATCCAACTGAAGAAAAAATTGTTGTCATCCATTTTCACAGTAGGTTCCAAATAATTATTCTTTATATATATATATATATTCATATATATTGGATTTGTAAAAATTAAAACATTCACAAAAACATAAGAATGTAACTTCAAACAAATGACTAACACTCGAGAGTCCTAGTTCGTAATAGCAAACTTGTGAGGTTAGGTAGTGGATCAATCCTTAGAAAAGGGGATGATGGTACCTCATTGAATTCCCTAAACATCCACTTTGCCAAATTTGACCATCTCCGGGATGAAGCTGTGCTTGGGTGATTATAGAATTGTTCAGCATGTCTTAAGAAGAGATAAACCATCATGAATATAACAAGGAACGGGGAGAGAAGAAGCATAGCAAGCCCGACAACCATGAGCCTCTTCTTCAATGTTCTAGGATTAGAAATGAAGTCCCCTCTAATACAGAAATTTCTGTAAAAAAAAGAAATGCATTCCCAAAAGAAGTTGGTTATAACCCCAAAAGTTTAGTAGTTTTTCTTTTCTTCAAAAAAGGAAAACTAACCAGTGTTAATTTCAGCATAATATTTTTAACTTTTAAGTACTTCATAAATTTGTTTCTTGCCAAAGAAAAATTATATGATCAACTCCTTCTAGCTACTTATGAAACGATATCAACCATTAAAACCCAGCATTACGTGTGGAAAACATGAACAGTATGATACAAAGAAAAAGTACATCATTCCTTTACCACAAAAATGGCAAAGCTACACATGGATCATTTACGCAGAGTTATCCAAAAAAGCCCCTCCCAACACAAAAACTGCATTTTAGTATGCCTCTTTGCAAAGAAAGGATTGTGTAATATTCTAGAACATGAATTTTACAAAATGAAAAAAAAATGAAGAAATAAGTAGTTTTATTAGTATGATGGTAGGAATTCATGACACTTCCGTAGATTACTTTGCTAAATATACATGTTGGAACAAATGCAAGAGGAAGTACATACATAAAGCAGAAAATCAAAATGCTCATTGAAAATTAGACATACCGGTCAAACATGCTTTGCAGTATACACCAATTTAAGGTCCATTCAAGGTCTTTGTTAGTATTAATGATGCTGCATTCCATCAGGGCCAAGTTTGAAAGTTGGACCAGCACCTGGAACCCAGGTTGAGAGAGGAAAGGCAAGAACTCCTTTATTAAGCATTCCAATCAAGTAGTTCTCCTTCCGCATCAAGCGCATAACCACATCATGAGCAGAAAGATCCTTGACTACACAGAGTTGCTGTGAGATTTGTAATCGGACAACCCTTTCAAGCGTTGCCCAAGGCATGGTTTGAATTTCATTGTCAGTAACACGGAGACTGCAAAATATAATTTCAAAAATATAATTAGTCATTAATCATTTATAAGAAGCTGCTAATGTGGTGCAAAATTAAAGCTTCCAGTGTATCTTGTAACTTATCAAATATAAACTTACCTATTATAGTAGAAATGACGTATTCCAAGAGTATCCTTTAATTGTGCAAAAAACCTCAAAAAACAGAATAACCAGTAGATGGAAAATAGCCCCAAATATCCAGCTATAATTGCTTTTGAAAGTGTTAAAGGGGTTAATGGGTGATGGTGAAGAGCTTCCTTAGAAAGATCACATTGCTTACTTCCAGATTCAAATGCATCCATACCACACTTTGCATTTTGGAGACCATTCCAATCGACAAACAATAAGAAAAACCCAGAGAAACATATGGTAAAACCTAGGCTAAGAAGTTCAACTATCCATTTTATAATAATGCACCAAAGGCCTTTCTCGCAATAGTAGCTATAGAGCCGTTCAAAGAACAAGTCCAAGTCAGCAATCGGTTCCACATTCAGAGTCTCGCCATTAAGAAGCCCTGAAGGGCTCTCACTACCAGGACTTGGTGGTACTCTTCCATATCCAGATAACTCAATTTCAGGAGCCACATCACCTAGTAAGCCTGTTGTCAAAGAGGATTCACCGCCCCATTTCCACTTGAATATGCCAATAGAATTGCAGTCTTTGCCCACGGAACATCATTTATAAATCTTGATGGCAGGGAAAAACAACCGGTCCATCCCAAAAACCCAAATGCTTATTGCAAAATTCTGCCAAAAAGAAGAAAATCAGATAAATTCATTTTTGCATGGTATGTATGAAAACATTCACATGCACTGAAAGCGGAGGTAAACAGAAGAAAAACTGAAAGTTAATCCCTTATAATATATAAATCAGAACAATGAAGGGTCTAAACAACATTATGAAGTACACAAAACTTAGTGGAGATCATTATAATATAAAACTCAACTATTGAAACAACAAATAGAACAAGAAATGAAAGAAACCAATCATTACCAAAGATTTTTACTAATCCTTACAAAACTAACTGAGTTCAAATACCTGCAAATCATAAGTTGGAGAAAAGCCACAATCTTTCCTTAGAAGAACCAGCTGGCAACAAGCAACAAGATGCAGCAATTTGATCAAGGAAACTTAATTGCGATCCTGAACACAAATAGTAGCCACCAAATGCACAACATTATAGACTAACCATAAAACATAAGTGAATAATATATGGAATGAAAACACCAAACTGAGATAAATTTTAGCAGATGAATTGGTTCTTATTCTTTGCAAATAATTCTATACATGCTAAGAAAGAATAAATCTTGGCGAATTTTAAGTCAAATAAGAAACAAAATAAATTCTGCAGAATAAAAAGAAAGTGGCAAAACAAAATATCACGCCAAGATTATCCGTTCATGAAAATAAATGACAAAAAGTATAGGAATTCACCTCCGACGCACCAACGAGCAGCTCCATAACACCAAAAGAACAAAAGAGGCCAACACCCACTAAGGATTATTCCACAAAAAATCAATACAGCAGAGGGTTGACCGGTACAAGGAGAACTCCAAGAAAGAAAAGGAAGGGAGGAGAGGGGTTTGTTGCGTGGAAGAAAATAAGAAACAAAAGATTCAATCTTTTAGTGAATCGTTTTTAAAACCATAAAGTTAATCAATTAAGAATTAAAGAAATGGGTTTATTTGGGCTTCTTCCTCTCCTTCTCCTCCTCTGTGACAATTAAAAATTAAAAATGAATGAAGGAGACGTCAAGGCGAGTAATACCTCTTGTTGTTTCGGTCTGAGCAGCCGAAGGCAAAAGGGAGAACTTTCTGTCTTTGTTTTCTTGTTACAATGAACACAAAAATAACAGTCCTGGCCTCCAACATGTTTTAGTTTAGTTTAAACCCAATGGGCCATTCCGAGAAATTGGGAACTCTTTTTAATTTGTTGGGCCATCGACAAGTTCATTTTGGGTCTGATTTCTCCCTGTAATCTCCAAAATATAACCGTTTACGGTAATCTCCAAACAAGACTTCAAAGAATCCGCGGGAGGTAACGTACCAAATTGGCGGGAATACACGTGTCAAGTATAGATAGCTGTTCCTTCCCGCCAGAAAAAAAAAAACCCATCTTTCTTATATACTCACACCCTTACTTCCTCCACCGTAAAGTCACCTCCATTTTCTTTTTGATGTCTATTGTCTGTCTGCTCTGTAAATTTTTACCTATGAGCTCCTCAGATTCTCTCAAAGCAACCCCTTTGAAATCCAAGACTTCGCGGAGCCTAACCTCGAAATCGCCGGTTACCAAAACCCCAGAAAAAGCACTCTTCCCAGCTCCCCAACCGTGCTCGTAACCGTGGGGTCGCCCTCTCCATTAAGGAGGTCCGGCAAGTGGCTCAGACTCGATCCAAAGCTTCTACAGTCCAGATCAAGTCGGCCCGAAAGCAGATCTTATCCTGGCCCACCGAATCTCCTCCACCCAAGGCCTCCGGTGGTCGTCCCGATAAACTCCCTGAAAAGTAGGTCCGGTTGAGACCCTCACCCTAGTTTCTTTTTTTAATAATGTTATTGATTGAAAGTTTTTGGAACAGGTACGAGATATTGTGTGAGTTTTACAATAGCTTAGATTCTGCAATCCGGCTGCTAAGATCGAAGGGGCCAATGCTACTTTTACAAATATCAGCCCCAAAAGAGTGTTTAACTGATAGGTAATTTCACCTTAATCATCTCAGTTAGTGCTGGTTAATAGATTTGTTAAGTTCTGTTTGGTTTATTTATATTGAGAATTTTATTTTTGGGTTTGATGTGGTTATAGGAGGGTTTTATACAGTCACTTGGCTCAATTGAAGCATATTTTACCCGAGGCTATTGAGATAAAGAGAATTCTTTTGTTTGATGAAATGTCTAGTTGTATGAAACCGGATCTCCACGTAAGCATCATTCTGGATGCGATTGACTTTGGGGACAACTCAAAATCTGAGAATAAGAATCTGAAGTTAAGGAAGGTTTTTCGAGATCGTCTTGTGGACTACAGCAAGGCTCATCCTGAGGTATTCTTTCAGCTTAGCAGTAATCTTTGATTTGCACAGAAGTAGTTTGCTGTTATGCATGCTTATACGTCAACCGACTTTGTTGATATATTTGGAGCATTATATTTGATTTTAGTTCTGAAATTCATGTTGGTTACTCTCAGTTTTAGATTTATGAGGAGCTCTTAACTGATAAAAGGACTAACAGTTGGCTCTAAGCAGCTGCAAGTATTAATACCTGTTTGTATTAGGCCTAATGGTTAAATTCTAGCATTCTAGTTCTTAAACATACCTAATGTTCTTTTAATTAGAAATTGCAAATTACCAAAAAAAATGATGAAGGAAAAACTAAGAAACAGTAGTGTTATGAAGCATTCATATAGAAATGCTAGAAACTCATTTATTTGTACCAGTAACTATCTGATAGATATGGTTTGCTGGTATGTGAGGCCTGTTCAGCCTTTAATTGATGAATTCCAATGGCTGGTTCTAGCAATAACCCCTGGTCAAGATATACTTTTAGTTATAGCAAATACATACTGACCCGTTACTTTTTAACCTTAGGTACCAAATGATGAAGGAAAAACTAAGAAACAGTAGTGTTATGAAGCATTCATAGGAAATGCTAGAAACTCATTTATTTGTACCAGTAACTATCTGATAGATATGATTTGCTGGTATGTGAGGCCTGTTCAGCCTTTAATTGATGAATTCCAATGGCTGGTTCTGGCAATAACACCCTGGTCAAGG